ACAACTTCAACAGGGACAGAGGATATCAAGTAAACCCCATTTGGAAAACCGTCATCCCGGTTTTTTAATTGACCAGCTGATCAATTAAAAACATACGATTGGCTGACCCCCCCTTCCCTCCCCCCGTTCCCCTTACCATCACAGGGGAACACATATAAGGACAACCCCCAGACATCGGAGCTCAGAATCGGAGCTCATAGCCCTGAAAATGCAGACTGCAATATTTGCGAAACGTCGGCGCAATGCTGAAACCAAACGCGGCATCGATCCGGAAGCCAATAATGTCAGAGAATCCGAATTTTCGCCTTATCTAGAATATCTAAATATTATATTCCGAAGAATCACAGGATAGCGGACTTTAGCACAACAGACGTTCACCAAAGTTAAGTAACATCGAGTAGGGTTCGGAATTGGATGGGTGACCACTCACCGATAATGTAATTTTTTTTTCTTTTCCTGCGTGTATAAATCGATTCTTATCATTGGGCATGCTTTCCCATGGCAATTAATGAGTTATTAATCACTGCCAAATTGTTAATAATAATGAGGTTAATAAATAATCACGTGGGTTTTTGATGGGTTGCAGCCTACTTGTAACTTGTGAGGTAACTGCGTGATGTTTTCATGAGTTCCTTGTAGGTCGAAACCTATGTGGAACCGGTGACCATGTCGGTTGCATCGCATCGGTAACCGCTGATAAACCGACGAAATTTCTACTCGGGCATTACCGCGTGTGCAGTTCAAAACAGTGCTCTGCCCTTTTCTGGACATGATGTGTGTGCATAAATGGGTGTATACATTCAGGCTCTCACACAACTTTTCTCTGGCCATGGACAATACTGTCGTAGATATGCAGGCCGGGCCGTAAAATAAAGGGATTCTAAGATTAAGTTTTCGGGCGAGACAAAACGTCAATGAAGATAAGCTCAAAGAAAATGCAACGACAAACCAAGTCTTCAATTAATACCATAAAATTTTATTAACATATACAGAGAGATTACATTGAAGAACGAATCTATCAGATATAACGACGATAATTTCAACATGATTAATCCATCATTGTTTTCCATTGACAGCAATGCGATTTCAATGATCCTCAGTCATGATCGAAACCCTTTGGAAAATAGTCAATTTTATTATTATTTAACGCTCATAGTACATTTTGTCATGAATCCGTGAAGCACAGTCTAACATACGATTGCGGCAATTCACATGAACATGAGTCCGCGCGTAACGGGCGAATGACAAATTCTATTTGTAGTCACGGACATGTCAAAAGCGAGGTCCGCCAACCAGGCTGTGAGTAACGTAGGGAAGAGGCGTAAGCTCTCCTCACTGCCAAAAGACCAGACATCCAAAGAAAAGAAATTACGGAAGAAATAGCAAACGGCAAAAAAAATGAGAACTAAAAATTTGCATATATATATATATATATATTTGCAAATATATATTATAAAGAAATAAGTATGTTAGTCATACGAGGGTGGTCCTTAATAACCACGTGAACCAATTTTAATCGCGACACCCCTTCATTTAATTCGAAATAAACAAAAGAGAAGTGATCAAAATTTCAGGGCTCCATTTTAATAAGAACACGCGTCGATGACCACGAACTATTTTCACTTTAATAACATGATGTTTTGGCACAATTTCTTTTAATTTTTTCTCCAAGCCTCACAAAAACTAAAAAAATCCAAAAACTATGTGAATTGCATGTAAAGTAGTATTTTATGTACCAATCATTATTAGTACCTCATCTAATACTTAACGCACCTAAAAATCAATAAAATAAACTATGAAAACTTCAGGAAATTGAAAAATGTCGACAAATCGATTTCAATGATTCAAATAGGCTTTTCTGGATTCTCAGATATATTGCAGTGAAAATTTATGAAAGTTTCTAATGCTTATATAATTTTTCTGTACTACTTCTCACGATTTCTCGTCTGGGAATTGGTATTGCATACTTTCCAAACTGGAACACTTAAAAATCACTACAAAAACCTTGTCTCGGGCTGCTACGATTAAATTTTTTTTCTCATGTGGTTGGCCAGTCCTCGCCTTCGGCTCAGACGCCAACGCCGCACGAGTAAAAAATTCCATCGCAGCAGCCCGGAAAAATACGATTTTATCATGTTCGTATGTGCAGTTAGTCATTTTTCTTTCTTTGAGTTAGTCATTTGTCTTTTAAAATGAATTCATAAACGTATTTTCTAAAGAGCAGTCATTTTCATTGTTAGATTTTTTAAATTTCGCGGCGAAGGCAATATATTCTTTGAAAATTTATTTATTTTTTGGGAAGGATTCCAATTAACTGTAACAGAAGAGAAATCACTTTCTGAGGTATATACTCTTATTGACATGACTTATCACGTCACACGCCCCTGAAGCTCCGAATCACCACATACAATCCATGAAAAAACTGCATGATTATAAATCTATCGATTCTAAAATATTTCAAGCGACAATTTAAAGATTTCAGAACCATTTATGGGTCATCTCTCCTGAAACCGCCGCAATGGTATTTTTTGGTGAAGAATTATCGATTGATTTAAAGAAAAAAATTATATCTGAAATAAAGGTGAGATATCAAAATTCAAATGAAAATTATTTTAACCGAGTACGGTTGGATTTAAGATACTGATAATTTGCATGATAAATGAATGGATAGTTTCGTGACCGCACAATCTTTAAATTTTTTTGAAAGGTTTAAAATAAGTGAAATGATCGATCCTTTAATGTGGCCTCATCATCCAAATTTTCTGTTGGGATTGAAAATTGTGAAAAACTTGAACGTGGTGAATGACACTGCAGAGAAGACAGTCCATTCAATGGGAAGTTATAATAATATTTTAAGAAGAAAGGAAGATCACAAGCAATATATACTTCACGTGACGACAGAATATCGAAATAGATAGTGATTCTACAAAACAAACAGTGATGCGAGATTTTTAACTAGAAATACTTTTTACATGCTAGCTGTAACATTTTTTTCTCTTTTTTATATTAATAAATGCATATAAAATTAATTGATCTTCATTTTCATATAAAATCGATTGATCATTTATAAAAGTGATGAAAAACTGAACATTAGGAGCTACCATAAATTTTCACTGCAATATATCTGATAATCCAGAAAAGCATATTTGAATCTCTGAAATCTATTTTCTACATTTTTCAATTTTCTGAAATTTTTATCGTTTGTTTTAATGATATTTTAGCGCGTAAATATTAGATGAGTTATTAATAATGATCGGTATATAAAGTACTACTACTGCATATGCAATTCGTAGTTTTTGTTTTTTTTTTCGTTTTCGTGAAGCTTGGAAAAAAATGAAAGAAATTGTCCTAAAACGCCATGTTATTTAAGGGAAGACTACTGTTAGTTTTAAAAATTGTGGGATATTGAAGTGAAATATCTCACGCATTCAAGAGCGATTATATATGTCTAAAAACGAATAATTAGTGCGAAAAAATTAATTGTTTGTTGTTCAGTGGTTTGCTCCACATTCGCTTAAAATGTTGAAAATAGTTCAGGGCTTCTAATTCTTGAGCTACAGAGGTTTGTTTTTTTTCAACATTTTTGAAACAATGTGTACAATAACAATTACGTATTAGTTTTTCGAAATTCAACTCCTACACAGCTATTTTCGTTTTGTTTAATATAAAAATTTGCGCCATTCATGTAAAATAGGCAGATAAATTACCCTAAAAATGTTAAAAATATATTCTCCATTCGTTCAGAAAAAATTTTCGGGGTATTTTACATGAATTGTGCAATTATTTATTGAAATAATAATGAAATTAGCTGTGCAGGAGTTGAACTTCAAAAAACTAATTCGTTTCAAGCGTTTGCGGGGTAAACAAACAGTAAACAATTAGGTTTTTTGCACTAATTAGTCGTTTTTACATATATAATTGATCTTCAATGTATAATAAATCTCATTCTAACAGCCCGGGACTTTTAAAACTCATAGTAGTCTCCCTTTAAAGGAAAAACTGTTCGTGGTTACCGATACGTGCTCTTTTTAGGATGGAGCCATGAAATTTTGACCACTTTTTTTTAAATATATATTTTGAACTAAATGAACGTGTATCGCAATTAAAATTGCTTCACATGGCTATTAACGACCACTCTAACGTATAGGGTGTCTCATGAACAGATGCGGCTAAATATTTCTCAAGTGGGGCGGGTAACAAAAAAATGTTTGATACAAAAATTATAGGGTTCCGAGGGGGACATGCGATGTTGTCATTGTTTTGAGCTTTCAAGCTCACGCTTGCAAGTTGCAAGCACAAAGTGCTTTTTTTCAAATAGCAACCGTATTTTTTACCTCAACGAAACTTGTTCATATTGATGAGTTGTTTTCAGAAACCTCATCATTTATTTAATTTCATCTCATTTTACTCGAAAAATGCCACAAAAACGAGGTCTGTAGTCGAATTCAAGATTCAAACATCCTTGGCGCATCTGGGTGTAATTGTTTCATCTGTTTACACACCGGACTTATCAAATGTAAACAATAAACAAAACATTTCCCTACTCCTTCGAGGATTCTTTTATTCTAATCGGTGCCAATTCAACCCGAATCAAGTTAGTATCACTTGTTATTTCATTGAACACATGACGCTCATGGACTTGCACACATGTTCGGGCTATTCTTTTCTTTTTTTTAGCGCACGGGATGCGAAGCAGACTTTACCTCCACGTGGTGCATCCTGAGTCACGCTAAAAAGTCTGAATCTTCAATTTGGCCACAAAACTCTTTTTATGGCATTTTTCGAGTAAAATGAGATGAAATTAAATGAATGATGAGGTTTCTGAAAAAAACTCATCAAGATGAACAAGTTTCATTGGGATAAAAATGCGGTTACCATTTGAAAAAAAGCACTTTGTACTTGTAGCTTGCAAGCGTGAGCTTGAAAGCTCAAAATAATGACTACATCGGATGTCCCCCTCGAAACCCTACAATTTTTTTTGTTACCCGCCCCCTTGAGAAATATTTAGCATCTTTTCAGATGGGACACCCGTATACAGGGCGTATTTGAAACATTACGGCTTGATATCTTTTGTAAGAAGGGAGGGACGGCAAAATTGTTCAAATCAAAGTTGTTGGGTGCAAGGGGAAAATCAGTGGTGATGGAATCTAGCCCCCCTTTGCTTGTTTCTATGCTACGAGCATGAAGTCAGTTCTCTTAAATGACATTTTTCACCTGCACAAAAGTTGTTCGTCTTGCCAAGAGAAGTTCAACTATACCACATTTACTATACCGATGATGTCGTCGTTTTCACATGAATAATTGTACAAAAATCAAATCAAAGGGAACCACCTTCATTTCGACTATCTAACGGGTTTTATGCCACGTATTGTATATGTATCTCCGTGTAAGTGTCAGGAATAGTCATTGCAGAAGAGGTTCGACGTTACCACCATTAACAGCAAGGCACAACTCCAGCCGGCGTCGGTAATTTCGAACAGATCGAAGGACTTCAGCTGGAATTTTCGCGATTGCATATCTGACCCCTCTTTACAAATCCGCAGCGGTGATCGGTCGATTGATGTACACAACATCTTTCATATAACCACATAAATAAAAATCGAGTGGTGTGAAGTCAGGAGATCGAGGTGGTTATCGGACAAAACCACCTCGACCGATCCAACGGTTGGAGAAAATAATGTTTAGATGATCTCTCACGCTGATCACAATGATCTCTCGCTGTCTATTTGCTGAATGCACATTTTCCATTAGAGCTGGTAATTCATTCTACAAAAATTGTGGATACCTCATGCCGTTAACAGTTCCATCGAAGAACTAGGGTCCAATCACTTGACTGTCAACAATACCGCACCACACCTTCACACTCCATCGATGCTGGGGATCAATGCTTTGAGTCCAGTGAGGGTTTCGGGCTGACCAATAGTGACAATTGTGACGATTCAAAGAGCCTGTACCCTGAAAAATTGCTTCATCACTAAATAGGACTTGTCAAATCTGGGATTCCGTTCAATCTTCCTAGAGCCCAACGACAGAAGTTGATTCTCCATATCTTGGGGAAATAATGCTTGTGTCAGAGTGATACGGTAGGGATGATATCGAGAAGATCTCAAGATTCTGTGAGCCGTGCTAGGTGGTATTCCCAAATCACGTTCAATGTTGCGTAAACTAATATGAGGATTCATGGGTATCATTGCTAAAACAGCAATGCTATGTGGATTCTCAGGGTTGAAACCTTGCTGGCGTCTTAGTTGCCCAATTCTTCCCTGCCGACAACTTCTTTCGATTTGGCGAATGACTGCAGCAAAAAGATTTCGGTGTCGACTTGGAAATCATTGTGCACACAATCATGTAGCTCTCCGGTACACTCCTTCACACTCACCTAATATGAGTAAAATATCCACGTATTCACTAGCTGAATAAACCATAGTGAATGAGATTTTGTGAACTCGATAAAAGATATTTTGTTAGTGACGCAAAATAAAGAATAATATTTTTACAAGGGTCCTCACTCACCTCAGTCATCTCTTGGTTCCATGGGACATTGACGAGATAGTAAATAAATAACATTCCAGAGTTCAAGCGTGGCAAAGTAGTCGAAATATAGATATTTCCCTTTCATTTGATTTTTATACGATTATTCATGTAAAGATGATGACGTCATCGGAAAATATGGTATAGTTGAACTTCTCAGGGCAAGATGAACAACTTTTGTAGGGGTGAAAAATGTTGTTATCATTGAAGAAAACTGACTTGATGCTAATAGCATGAAAACATGAGCAACGGAGGCTTACATTCCATCAGTACTGAGTTTCCCCTTTCCGTACCTTACAACTTTTATACGAACAATTTTGCTGTCCTTCCCTTCCTACAAAATACATTAAGCCATACTGTTTCAAATGAGACACCCTGTATAAATTGAGAGTGAATATTCAGAAAAACAAATAAATAATAAGATGAGAAAATGGGAAAGTTATTGGCTCAATAAAATTGAAAGGTAAAATACAATTTTTTTAATTAGCAATAACTCAAGAGCGGCAGAGTGAAATTCCAACATTTTTCTCTCATTTTCAAGATATTTGTCCAAACTTTAAAATGGGATTTGACTCATCTAAATTGTATCACTTGATCAGGAGATATTGCCGATTGATATTGCACCCCATTATCCCCTCATGGAAAGATAGTTATCATTTTGTGTGAATTATCTTTATCATGAGTAATTTAGGATATAATTTTATAAATTTTTAGCCAGAATTTCCTCGCCCCATAAATTTTCATGACATTGCTGGCTAAATTCTCTAGTTTTCGAGATAATTTCACATTTATCGCAGAACATCTTCGACTCAAATGCAGAAAAAAGTATCAATTTAAATTAACATCTCCAGGCACTTTAATCTCATTATCATGAAAAATATGTTGAGAAAATCACTATTTTCTCTTTCTCAACAAATAATGTTTATTGGTAATATTTTAAAATCAGCGTGGAGCTCGAGTTAAGGGTGGCGCAGACCTTACACTGCTTCAATAATTTCTTCACTGACTGGTCGAATGTGCCCACATCGAATGCTTCACGGATGGTTCGGTCCATACACACCTCTTAGGTACTTCCTCAGCCGTCCCAACCAGTCCGTAGGACCAAGCTTTTGATACGTCAGTGACAAAAAATTTCTTTCGTAAAATTGTTCAATTATTTTTCATCAATAATTATTTTTCGTCAATTTGGCAACAATTAACATCATCATCTTTCATCTGTTTTCATCTCAACCAGAATAAGAGTAACTGATATTTTTATTTTGTTTTCGCAATGGGTGAATCCTTTTACTACACTATTATTTTTACGTTTCTTTGGCAGTGAAGGTAGATGAAGAGGCGTTCTGCCTAATTATTAGGAGGCAATAAAAATAAAAATCATTGATCTTTTTTATGGCAAAATGAACTAGAAAATCACCATGATAGTAGTACATCATACTTGTAACCTCAAGAAAAGAAATGCGAGTCAATTCTATCATGTTATTCATTTGATTTACTTTAATCATTCGCTTCACTGGACCCAGGAGGCGGGCACCCACAGGGGCTCTGATTCTACCCGGTGTATTGCTGACACTAACTGTTCGAGCGCTATTGGTAAGTCTGCATTAACGATGACTTCGTCAAACAGGTGGGAGTACAGGAACTCTATTCGAGCGGCATTGTGAAGAATTTCTTGAAATTCATCGTCCTAGAAAAGATAAATAAGATTAATTCTCCACATAACTAGTGGAAGGTAAAAAATGTTGCACAGTTCATTATGCAAATATTTTAAAAAGTGCTTGGGTTGAAAGGAAATTAGATAAGTGCTTAAAAAAATGAACAAATTTCCCACAGAAATGGACTATGGATTTAATTATTAATCTTAATAGTACAAAATTATTGTAGGAAAACTTTTTTCCACCAAACTGTGCCAGGGAGTTTTTGGCCAGACTAGACAAAAACTCTCCCGTCATTATTAACAAATTCCCGGATAAATGTTCTGTAGAAATATAAAGGCAATGTAACCTAAGTGTTATATACGAAAACCTATGTATATTGTTTATTGTACGCAAATTAAACCTTAAAATTTTTGAAAATGCTCAATAAAAAAAATCTTAAGCGTAGGTTTTGACCGACGTCTGAATAAGGAATTGAATAAGATCCTGGCCTCGGCGATCATTAACAGACTCGAAGTTTCTCTTCACTCAGACCATTTCCTTCAATATTCTTAGAGTCTGCTGATGACTACCGAAGTCAATACTTAAGGGGTCCCCGCAGTTGCGATGGGCGCGCGGGTGAGTGGAGTATGAAATAGTCAAGTTAGTGAGGTTAGTTTCGAGAGAGACGGGACATCAAACATGGCGTATGTTGGATAATGACAGACATCGCCATAGTATTTTTATCATTAATTTATTGAACAAATCAACGATAAAACCCAATGGGACCCAATGGATTGCTGATAAAAATCTAAATTTTACCGAGTCATCTGGACTTTAAACCCAACAAAACCAACAAAATCAACAACTTAAAATAGTTAACAGCAAATCTAGTGCACTAGTGAACCGAAATACAAAGGCAAAGTGGCTATGAATTAACGATCAAACAAGCGAACAATCAACGGCACGAAATCACACGTTTTCGTGTCCTCACGTGGCACAGAAGCCACGCTTCCAAGGACGTAATCAACGATTGCGTCAACTAACCCCCAAATTAGCCTGCGTTATTAAGTTTTTAGTGTAGGTTAAATATTTATATGTGTGGACACATGCTAGCCGTTGTCATGAATCGTTAAACAACTAAAAAATATACTGTGTTGTATGTATGTGTGTGTGAATACACGTGTGTCACCGCCATTCGCAGTGAACCCTCCAAACTTACTGTATTGATAATAAATCTGGGTTTTTTATGCCGAAAGGCTTTTTCCCATAAAACTGTATTCTTTTTTTCTTTCTATAATTTAATGCAGCTATCATACCACCTAGGGTATGATAGCCTTCACCGTCATTTCATGGTACCTCCTGTGAGGTTTGAACTCACATTCTCTGGTTTACGACTGTGAGTGACGTGTGCACACAAATACGTGAAATAAACAAAACGTTCTAAAAACTTTCAAGCATTCCTCGACGAATCATCACGTCAAGCAACACTTCTCGTCATCCATCAACCATCACTCCCGTTCCAGGAAGCATTACCGTCCAGCAGGTCTCCGCATTGTGAAATAGTGCAAAAGATAAGTCTGCTACATTCATCTTATTTGCATTCAATTGTTGAATTTTGCTCATTTTATTGTTATTTTCCCATTCATTTATATTGTTTATCTTTGTGTTCCTGTCGTGTGAGTAGACAAGTCGTCTGCTCGCGCGCACGAGTCAACGAACGTATCTGTGGAGTTCACAGCATTAACACGCATTAAATTGAATTCGTTATTTGTTGATAAAATCTTTCCTTTTCAAACGACTTACTTTTATTGCAATTTAATTGCAAAACGTAATTTAATTAGGTTTTAGTTCATTATTTGATACATTTTAACGGAACCTAATTGCTTTTTCTCAGTTAATTGGTGAATTCAATGATCATAAAAAAGTTCTTATATCTTTTCAAGTATTTTTTTAATTTCTACAAAGTTACATCAGTTTCATTACTTTAAAATACAAGCTTTTTTATAAGAAATTCAGAAACTTTAACGTTAAAAAATGGAACTTCCTCCAGAAGAGAGAAAACGCGTTGCGTGCCTTCAATAAAGATTGAATTCTTTTACTACTCAATTAGAAAAATTAGAACAATACCTAGAAAGCCTAAATGTTGATCCCAAAAATGCTAAAATGCGTCTGGACAGTTTGTCAACAATTTATGAAAATTCCTTGAAGTACAACGAAGAGTTAACCTTACTTCAACACGAGAATTCTCAAGTAAACGCCTTTTTGGATGTTGAGTCTCGATATTTCGAGGTGGTTAGTGCAGTCACAAAATTGCAACGAGTCGAGCCACTTCTAAGTTCTACTTTTAACCCTAGCAACATCACGATAACCGAACGGCAAGACTTACCAAAACTCGCTAAAATTCGAATGCCTGTTTTAGATGGTAAGCGTGAAAATTGGGCAACATACAAGAACAAATTCAGTGCTCTTATTCATTCTCCAATTGACATCAGTGACGCAGTGAAGTGCAGTCAACTCTTCGACTGTCTCACTGGCCAAGCTCTGGCCAAAGTCGACTAATTCGATCCTAGTGACATGGATTATCCAAAGGCTTGGCAAACTCCTTTGGATTTTTATGATCACAAACGAATTGTGGCCGTAGAACATCTAAATGCCATTCTCGATCTTCCTCAATTCACCAAAGTGTCTGCTGACGACTTATCGACACTTTTGGACAAGGCTCGTCAACATCTTCATATTTTGGAGGGTCTTGGTGCTCGATCTGGTAACGATTTCGTTATTCGTATCATCGAACGCTGTCTTCCTCCAGTAATCAGAAGAAAATAGCAAGATAAACTTGAGATGGATGAACTGCGAAGGTTGGACGATCTTCTCAGGTTCATCCAAAATGCTATCTTCAAGCAGCAAGGTTTGGATTTCTCATCCACACCTAGTCGTAATGACAATCCGAAAAAGAGAATAAGAGAGAATCTTCCTCAGTCATCTAACAAAATTGCTAAGACTACTTCCCATACCTTCATCACGTCATCCACAGCTGATTCTTCTGCCTCTCAATCCACCTCTTTGGTCCACCTCTTTGGTCCAAACTGCAAGGAAGCTCATCGTCTTTTTAAATGTCCGGCATTTAACGGACTTAGTGTTCAAGATCGTTGGAATCTTGTATTTGTCTTTGGGTTCATCAATTCCCTTGTAAAAGCGATAAGCGCTGTAAAAAATGCAGCCGCAACCACCACACACTGTTGCACAATGAGAAAGGTTCTCAACAATCCAAATCCAAGGATGCAATATCTTCCACATCCAACAGCGGTCAACAATGACTAGCACGTCAATCATACACGACTGGCGCCTTCACATCAGATTCTCAGTTGATGACCACAGCAGTTGTCAAGGTTCAAAACAATCGAGGTAATTTGGTCATGGCACGTTCACTATTAGATTCTTGTTCTACAGTAAATTTAATCACAGAACGATTCGCCAAGCCACTTCAATTATCCCCAACTAGTTGTTCTCTTCACATTGGAGCAATTGACGGTCTGCGCACTGTTTCGAAAAACTATGTTCAATTAGTTCTTCATTCAAATTACAATAACTTCAAACAACAATAAAATTGTTTGCTAATGCCAAACATTGCCGATGCAACCTCATTGCCTGATGCAGTGCCTAATGACACATTCCCTCGAAATCAATTCAACATCCCTAAGAATCTTCAACGCGCTGATTCTCAGTTTCATCTACTAAGGTCAATCGACCTTTTGTTAGTTTTCAACACCACGTTGTCGGTTCAACACCACAGCAGTTGTCAAGGTTCGAAACAATCGAGGTAATTTTGTCATGACAAGTGCACTATTAGATTCTTGTTCTGCAGTAAACTTAATCACAGAACGATTCGCCAAGTCACTTCAATTATCCACAACTAGTTGTTGTGTTAACATTGGAGTAGTTGACGGTCTGTGTACTGTTTCGAAAAACTATGTTCAATTGGTTCTTCATTCAAATTACAATAACTTCAAACAACAATTAAATTTTTTGCTAGTGCCAAATATTGCCGATTCAGTGCCTAATGACACGTTCCCTCGAAATCAATTCAACATCCCTAAGAATCTTCAACTCGCTGATTCTCTGTTTCATCTACCAAGGTCAATCGACCTTTTGTTAGCTTCTAACACCACGTTGTCCGTTCTGTCCATTGGTCAGATTAAACTCTTCCATAAAGATTCTGCCATCGTCTTACAGAAGACTCGTTTAGGTTGGATCGTCGCCGGAGAGTCTGAGATGTTGACTTCTTCAACAACCACTCCTAGCAATGTCGTCAAATTGGACAAACTTATTGAGTTTCTGGTACATCGACAACTTTGTTCATGAACCCGTTCGATCTCGTGATGAAATTTCTTGTGAACAACATTATGTTAGACATACCAAACGTGATGTTACTGAAAGATACATAGTTCGACTTCCATTCAGAGATTCCAAATTCAATCTAGGTGAATCTCGTAGGCAAGCCCTCAAACGTTTTTCTTCCTTAGACCGAAAACTTTCATCGAATCCTCCACTGAAATGTGAGTACATCAGAGTGATGGAGCAGTACATTTCTCTTGGTCATATGACTCTTTGTGATGAAACTGAAGATGGGTATTATCTTCCTCACCATGCCGTTATCAAAGATTCCAGTGAAACCACCAAGGTTCGTGTAGTGTTTGACGCTTCGGCCAAAACTTCTACAGGCATTTCGCTCAACGACACCCTCCTGGTTGGTCCCACTATCCAAAACACCATATTTAAACAAGTTCTTCGATTTCGCACTCATCGCTATGTCATCACGGCGGACATTGAAAAAATGTATCGTCAAATCCTGGTTCATCCAGATGATCGACAGTTCCAAAAGGTTTTATGACGCTATCAGGGGAATCTTCGAACTTTCCAACTCAACACTGTGACTTTTGGCACAGCCGCCGCTCCATTTCTAGCAGTTCGTACCATTCAGCAACTTGCTCGTGATGAAGCACACGATTTTCCACGTACCAGTAAACTTCTCCTTCGTAACTTTTATGTC